AGGCGTGCGGAAAGAGGGATGAGAGGTTAAGTGTGTAGGCTTCCAGAGAAGGCGTTTATTCTCATAACTGTAACAAGCTCAACAGAACTATCGGGAGAGTTAATAAATAGTGGAATATTCACACCATCAATTGAAACGTCTATGCCGACTAGGGATCCATCTTGCTCTTTCAAATCTTATAGAAGTTGCTTCTATGACAGAATCCTTGGTGAAATTTACTATGTTGTCATTGTTATGGCCTACTGTTACTTTGAACTTGGCATTGAACAAGATTCAATGCACAAACCCTTGTTGATCCCAGCAAGAAACTGATCAAAATTGATTGATTTTAATTCTTCATGCTCTTGTCGTGGGAGTGTCTATTAGACAGGGGACGTTGATCAGAGAGTGGCGTCTAATACAACATCGTAGGTCTTGTAGAGAGGGCGCGCGCTTTTGTTAGAAAAGAGGCGCTTAATTGAGACTGGGCGTTTATTAGATCATTTACGGCGTTATGCTACCATTTGGTTGTTGTATTGTGTGTCTGGTTTAAAACCTTGTAAAGTATAACCAATAACTGATCTGAGTGACGTTTTCCTGTGCAAATTGTATTTACATGATATGATGATGAGCATTACTTTCAGGACAGGTTGGTGAATGACTTGCAGAATGACTTTCGCTGGAAAAATCTCTGAAATCTGTTCTACTTACCCGAGTCCTCTGTAATTTTCTTTACACGTCCATAAGTTAGTTTTGGACACAGATTTGATCGCTTATAAAGATAGCTTGTCTGGTATGCAGTCAGGGCAAAGAAGTTGAAAACCTTAGGGACAGGGGCTGGTTCTGCTTTAATGGCGTCTGCAAGGCATGGATCCCATTCCTGAAAATATACAAAACACAAAAAGAAGTCGAAACGAAAGCTTTGCACTTCCGTAATCACTTGGCAGTAGATATCTGATCTTAGCTTCATGGTCAAATTTTCGGCTGGTTTCCGGTGGAAAATATTTTAAAAATTTTGGGTTAGCTCGGATGAAAATACGAAGTTGTGCTTGCTGATGGAGGATAGTGTTAACGGCTGAGGTGGATAACGTCCTCAATATCTCCAAAATTCTTCATATCCTTAATCAGACAGCAATATTGAATACGTTTTTTGTTAGCTACAGTGGAACCTCAACTCAGGGGACACCCTCGAGACTATGGCAAGCGTCCCCTCAATGGAAGTAAGACTGGGTTTGTTAATAATTAACCAACAAATTAAATATATATATTTTTAATCTGCCCTGGAATCTGTTGCAGTCATTATTTCAGGCAGCTTGATAATGTATAAAAAAATCATGATTAACTTGTCTTTGCGATGTCGTGTGTTGAATTCCCACAAGTGCAGTACATCGATTTAAGTGAGATAGTTCATGTTTTGAAAGCTGTGATTGTGACGATTTTTGTGGCCAGTTTCACTTAGTGCTAACAGGGAAAGTGCAAAACTTTTCTTTTGAAAATGAGTTTTATCGAATGAGAATAAAAAATCATTTTTTTTCAAATCAATAGTTTGGCACTTAGCCTCGCTTTGAAACAGAGGCTTGGGACCCAACGTAAATGGTAGTAACCGCTGTACCTACCTTCATATCCTGGCAGACCATTTTTATGATTTCGTCATCCGATTGGGGGCGACCCATATTACCGTTTTGCCCATCTCCGTAACACTTCAAAATTGGTTCAAGAAATCGTATCCCCGGCTTGGGCTTTATGACGGACCCACCAGCGACAAGGATACCGAAATTCGCAACAAAAATAATGGCAACGATTCTTGTAAACATAGTGCAGCTTGTACCTAAAACTGATCAAGACAAAAACCAAGGATCGATTGCATTAAGTGTACAATTACGAGGACAAATGCCTTCAGTCAGTTGTCTCAGGCACTGTCCCCTTGTAGCTGGAAATTTTTGAAAACGGAGATTCTTTTCTTTTTCAAAAAAATACGCGAGGCACGTAACTTGTTTGTGCAACAGAGAACAAACGCGTATAGCCGCCACATTTGACTGTTGTGTTTTTTTATTGTTGAAAGCTTAAAAACAAAAAAAAATTAAGGGATAAATGGATTGGCCATATGCTTATGCTCGAGGGCTTACGAAATTACAAATGACTAAAACTGGCTTAACATCTTTATTACCTCAAGAGAAGCCTCTTTTAACTTGTGTGCTTTGTTTTCATGTTCTCAAGGGAACTGAACTTTTTCTTTTCAGAAATTATGTGAAGATATTAACTCGGTGAATAGGACGCAAATTGAAAGAAAGAGTCTCGTCTAGAAACAAAAACACAGTAAAAGCGAATTCAGACAGGTCTATATAGCCAGTGGAGTGAAACGGCTTGGACGCGCAACTAAATATTTCAGTCTAGCTTAAAATTCTGGTTGATCAGTCGAAACAACTCAAACAAATTCTATGATATATGTACGGGTCTATAGATGTTTGTAGGTTGACCTAAGCTGTTGGATGCACTATGAAACCAAATTTGGGAAAAACACTAGAAAAAGAAAATAATACTTCACAATTATAATCAGTGTAGCTTATCGCCTGCAGAGAATTTGAGTGTGGTTTTATTTGCCATGTCATCCACTGTTTATACTGAGGAACTAAATGTTTTTAAGGGTTGGACATAAATGTTATGCCGCAAACTTAAGACTGTGAAAATTTACAAACCAGTTTTTTGACAATGAAAAATACTTTCGTCTGCACAACGGGAGCATTAGTCAAAAATTGACCAAAAAAAGTTAACTCAACTGTGAGTTTCAGTTTTAAGATACGGTTTCTCTCGAGACAAAAGAGGGTATATCAAGTTCAGAGCTACATCAGGTCCATGCACAGAACGTGATCCGAATTAACTGAATCGGTGACGCCTGTATTAAACGGACCCAATATTAAAAGAACACGACCTCTGACTTTGGATTGTCAAGCACAGGTACCCTACACTCTTTAAAGCTTTGGAGAATAATAAACTAGCGCAAAATTAGACAAATCAGTAAGAGAACCTACCGTTCAGGGTCTCTACGTCTTCGCAATTCACTCACTAATGTGAGCAGAGTTTTTCCTCTAATTCAACCGGTGACAAACCAAGATAATTTAGAACACAGACAGCTTTCCGCTATTTATCGCCAAACACTGATCACGTGTTACCGATTTGTCACACGTCAAGGTAATCAGTATATTAGCTTCAAATTTTCAGTGAAGCGAAAAAAAAACATTTTAAGCCAATTTAGCAGGACTACAAGCTAATTTACAGTCCAAAAACAAAAGAAAGCATTAAACAGGATTTAACAGTTTATTTTAAAATGGCCATAGTGTTGTTTTCTTGCTCAAGTGACTCCAACAGGGCATACAAGGCAAATTTTAAGCAAATTGTTAACCTAGATATCAAAATTGTTCTTATGGTTTGCAGTCATCAAGTTATTTTTCGAACATATTTGTCAGCGCTGCGATTCCTTGCAAAATTATTTCATTCTTGCCTCTTGACCGACGATTAAATTATTTTTTTATATTGTCTTCTCTAAAAGAGATCGTTTAAAACCCGCTAAAAGTAGCATACCATTGAAAGACTGGTTTTCACGAGAATTAATTGAAATAAAAAGGAGCATATAAGTTTATGGTTACACGGGCTTTTGCTGAGTGAAGATCAGTGAAAAGCTTTACTGCAAGGTTGGTCATCGAGATTACTCTTTTATAAGAACTGATTGCTTTTTATTTTTAGAATAAAATGTGTATAGCTCTTAGCGAGAAAAACAACTTGTACTTATCAGTACAATTGTTGATTGGAATCGGTGCCTCTTTTGTGTTTGGCCACAGACGCGAAACGGCTAAGACCCCAACGAACTCCGTTTCACTTCAATAAAGCGAGAAAAAGGACCCTTTTTTGCATCAAGTTAAAGGCATGCACAACCATCGTCATGACAGCGCCAGCACCAACAACAATGACAAAGTTTTATTTAAGCTCGGTAATATGAAAAATAGCACACAAGGTGCTTAGCTTGACTGAAAGACTCTTAAACTTTATCAAACAAATGAAGAAGCACGTTGCCCTAAAATGGGTTAAAAAATCCACGCTAAAATTCTATCAGTGACAATCAACCACAGTTGTGCAAACCCACCCTCTCCAGTTACACAGTAGTATACTCTATTTCTCTTCCTCCCTCCGGTCCCTAACATTTTACAGGTCACCCTTCCCGTGAACCTCTTAAAGGGTTTCAGGGGGGGTTAACCGTTAGCTGTAAAACGACTAAAAAAGATGAATTCCGAGGCATAGAAAAGGAGACTTGAAACCTAATATTGAATTGACTAAAGTTTGAGAAAGGCTTACTTGTACAAGTTGCGCCTACGTTGTTTGCGTTTAGTTTCTGTATCGTAGTGGCATGAACACCGCGATCAATGCTTGTTCTTCCGAAATTTATCAATGGCTTCATTAAGGTAGCTATTAACGATATATAAGAATTGTACTTGAAGTGCTGATAATTTGTAGTCACTTGAATATGCACCCTTGACGCTTCGGTACCTCGCTATTAATGGACGGATATTTACAGGGTCTTATTTTCATTATTTCAAATTACCTTTGAGTTCTTTTGCGCCATACTTCTACTTTTTTTAAGCAGCACCTTCTGCAAGAAGCAATACTAGGAAGGAACAATTTCGAGTGAATTTGGAAAACGGTCCTGGCCCCATTGCTTTTAGTGGACATTCATGTAATGGCTTTGATTGTTGTTTTATTCGATTCGCATTTTCTTGTAACAGAATCTCTCTTATCTTTTCATTACGATTCATTTTTCCCCTCGTGTCTGCTCTATAGTGGAGTCGACCTCGTAGGGACCTCGAGTCCGTTCGTTTCACCCTCTTTAAGTTTGCAAAATGTTTTGGTAAAGTTACTATATTAAGCCATCAGACTTTTCTGGTCTCACGGAATAAATTTTCAGCATGGCCAGGTAGCCTGAATTTCATTCAACTGCTTCGAGTCGTTTCCTCCTCTCAGCAACGTGTTACTGATGGAGTAATAACGACTCGGAGTAATCGGATGAAATTCAGGCTAATAGCCAGGCCAATAGCGACTATTAAAGTCAAGTCTTTCCGGTTATTTAAACGAAGTATGACTTCAGTTTTGACCAAAGCCATGAACTAACCCCATTGCAAAAATCCCAATTTTTCAACTTTTTGAACTTCTTGTTTTTATAGTCTAGAAACGCCTTTTCTCTTTGTAGAATATCGTGAAACACACTTTCCCGGCCTACTTTACCAAAAATAAAAAGATGGAAAAAAAGCCTATTTTTCACCAAAACTATGGACCTTTGGAAAAACCCAGTTTTTCGACTTTTTGAACTTCTTGTTTTTATAGTCCGCTCAGGCCTTTTTTTTCTTTCTAGAATATCGTGAAACACATTTTCCTGGCCTATTTTTCCTAAAATATAAAAATGGAAAAATTGCCAATTTTTATCAAAACCATGGACTACATGGACTAACGACTTTGGAAAAATCCCAATTTTTCGACTTTTTGAACTTCTTGTTTTTACCCATATGGCTAGAGGTATGCGTTCCCCTACGCTGGAAACATATATCACTAGTGACATGTGTTCCCCTACCCTGGAAACACGTTTTCCTAGTGATATGCGTTCCCCTACCCGGGAAACCCATATCACTAGCGACATCATCATCATCATCATCAATCTTTATTTATACACGAAATCGTATCATTTTACATGGTCTTCCTAGGAATCGTGTTTAAAACTAGACTAAAATACTCTATAAGGAACTATTGACTATAATGTTAAAAATACAAAAACTTACATTATGAATAATAAGAGTTACAATGGGTCCTGGTGTATTAGAAAAATCTTTCCCATGAATTGAAGTTTTAAAAACATTTAAACTAGGCAGTTTTCTAATCTCTGAGAGAATCTTGTTCCACAGAACAGATCCTCTGTAGTGTAGGCTCCCTTTTGCAGACTCAGTTGAGGAGGACTCTGGAGGTGAGAGGTTACGTCATTTCGTAGCGCGGTCAATTCATTTGTTATTTCATTGTTTGCCGCCAGTAAAGCTGCATGAGAAGCTTTCAGATGAATTAGTTTGTTAGACACTTTTTTTAACAACAACGACAACTGAGTTAATTGACTGTCGTAATCAGCTTCGATATCCTTGACCAGATTTGAATATGGAGATTTGTTAGCATCCAAAATGACTTCCATGTGTGCGTTATCAGCTGTTATCAATAAAATTTTCAGCTTTGGCTAGGTCGTCTTCAGTGGGTGAAACAGGAGGTTTAGCAAAATCCCTCCAAGGCTGTTGTCAGCATTAATTTTAATAGGACCATCACTAGGCGAAACAAGCCCCGTAGCTATCACCTCTCTCGCTTGAACATCGTTGTCTAGATTCTCTTGGAATGCGTTCAACGTTTCGCTAACCGGGTGTGCCCAAGTTGAAGTTAGATTAATTAAATCTTTTCTCAGTTTGTCTGCATCTTCTTTTCCTTGAATTTGTAGAGTTTTCGCTTTGTGGTAGAAGTTACAAGTGATGTTTTGAATCTTGAAAACAGCACAAGTTCCGTTGTCGTTAGCGCGAAATTGATTAGGCTGAACTTCCAAATGCAAGGCCAGAAACCTGAGTAGGTCGTTCTTAGATCCATTCCATTTGAGCTGATTTTTTGTAGACAGGAAAGATAATTTCTTGCAAAGGGCTTCCAAATCCTCCATTGCTTGCGGAGATCTCAATTTTGACTGTTCTGTGACATGTGTTCCCCTACCCTGGAAACACGTATCCCTAGTGATATCTGTGCTCCTACCTGGGAAACACATATCCCTGGTGATACACGTTCCCCTACCCGAGAAACTCGTATCACTAGTGATACGTGTTCCCCTACCCTTGAACACATATCACTATAGTGATATGCGTTCTTCTACCCAGGAAACACGTATCCCTGGTGATATGTGTTCCCCTACCCAGGAAACACATATCACTAGTAATGTGTGTTCCCAATAACTGGGAAACACATATCCTTAGTGATATGTGTTCTTTCACCCAGTAAACACAAAGTACTACTAGTGATATGTGTTCACAACACATATCCCTAGTGATATGCATTCCCCTACTCAGGGAAAACATTTCACTAGTGATATGTGATCCGCCTACCTGGGAAACACATATCACTAGGGGTGGTCTAG